GGACAGGAGCAGCACATGGCAGTGGGGGGAGGGACAGCTGAACTGCCGGCAATTGATTGCCTGCTGGGCGGCTGCCGCACAGGGAACTTGGGGGAGCGGGGAACTGATGGGGTGGGGGGCTGCCGGTCCACCCTGGTTCCAAGCCCCCACCAGCTAGCTGCAATGGGCTGCTCTTCCTGCAAGCAGGTGGGTGCCAAACGACGTTAGAAGGGAGCATTGCACAACTTTAAATGAGCATGTTCCCTAATGGATCAGCAACGTACCAGTGTTAACCGGGATGACTTTAAGTGAGGAGTTACTGTACTCTCTGAGCACCTCACAACCTTTACCCTATGTATCCTCCCAACATCCCAGTGAGGTAGGGCAGTACTGTCCCCCCCCCATTGAACAGAGGGGGAACGGAGGCACAAAGACCCTCCAAGGCATTTAGGGTCTCAACTTCCAGTGATTTCAATGAAAATTAGGCACCTAAGTATTTTAAGGATCTGGGCCAGAGAGACTGAGCCACTAGTCCACAGTCAGAGAGAGTCTGAGGCAGAGTAGGGAAGTCAACCCTGGTCTCCCAGGTTGGTGCCCTAACCAGGGGACCGTCTTTCCTCTTGATTGCTTCCCCTGAGTCCCTGTTATTGCACCAAATGAAGGCTAGGAAAAGCACTCCGGGGAAGTATATGCACGACCCCACTAGGCAGCACCTCAGGGAAACCTCACCAAGAAGAGGGTGGTCCGTGCCCACCTGGCAATGACAGAGTGGCACCTGGGGAGGGGAGGATGGTCCCGTTAGAGCAGCAACAGCAGAGCAAGGGGCCGGGTGCATCGTATAGTGCAATCATATTTTCTTCACAACAGCGCGGGCTAGAAAGATAATTTATTTAAAAACAAGGGCCGAGAAGCTGATGTCATCGTGTGAGTGCAGGAGACAGAGCCCTAGCTACAGGACGTTAGTGTCTGTGCCTTCATCCAGGCTTTATTAGGGCTAGAGGGAATAGTTCAGTGGTTTGAGCATTGGCTCTACAAAACCCAGGGTTGTGAGTTCAATCCTTGAGGGGGCCATTTAGGGAAGTGGGGTAAAAATCTATCTGGGGATTGGTCCTGCTTTGAGTAGGGGGTTGGACTAGATGACCTCCTGAGGTCCCTTCCACCCCTGATATTCTATGAGCTGTGTGCATAGCTCCTACTTTCCCTATGGGTAGAAATCAGCGATGTTTTGTGGCCCATTCTCACTCCTGGGTGAACGTTTTTGGCCCCAACTTTTTTTGCTGGCAAAAAATGCAGCTTCGTCAACGCCAAAAAGTGTCCCAGCTTCGTGTCCGTTTCGCCAGATTGTTTCGGTTGAGAAAAAATGCCAAGAATTCTGAAAAATGTGGAACGTTTCCTTTGGCCATTTTGGAAACGAAAGACTTGACTTTTTCATTCAACATAACTTTGTGGGGGTTCAAGCTGGCCTTTAATTGTATTAAGCAAAAACATTGAAAAACAAGCAAAACTGAAACGAAACATGACGATGGTGTCAAAACAAAATGTTTCATTCGACCTGAAATGGAAATGTATTTGACTTTTCAATTCACCAACAATTTCAATTTTGGTTCGACCAGAAACTCGCCCCCCCCCCCCCCGGAATTGACAGCAGATCAAACAATCCATTATTTGCCCAACTCTATTTCTGAGACTTCATCGAGAACTCAGACTGCTTCTCTTAATGCTGGAGCAGTGGCATGTTGTAGCAGGGACCCCATTTTGAACCTTTTACCTTTGCACTGAGTGGAAGCTGTATGACCTCTGTATGGGGTGGAGAAGTGGGGGCGATGCTCTAGGGCACTATCCTGGCAATGTACTTGACTTTCAGATGCTTACAAGCCAAACAAATAAATAACTAGCGAGCCCAAAACAGTGACAAGGGTTAGCTACAAAGTACATCTGCTGGAGTGTTACTATCACCAGATGCTGCCCGGTGCATGAAACTCATCCTTAGTACATCACATATTGATTCTCTGATGGTTACTAGAACAGGGCCAGATCTTTAGCTGGTGTAAATCAGGATAGCACCACTATAGTCAGCTTACACCAGTTGATGGTCTGGCTCAGAGCATTTACTCTTTGAACCCAGATATTTTAGCCCATATAATAACGCTTTCCATCCATAGATCTCAAAGCAGCTTACAGGGATAGGAAAGTATCGTTATCCCTCCTCTTTAACAAGTGGGGGAAACTGAGGCACAGGGCGTTGCCGTGACTTGTCCAAGACGACACAGACAAAGCTGGATATAGAACCAAGATCTCCTGACTGTAAGTTCAAGTGGTGCCCATTGGGACACTCTGTCTGTCTACTTATCTGCCCCTTCCCCATCACCATAACATCGGATTAAACATTAATACAAATACCCTGTGAAGTAGTAGTATCCCCACTTTAGAGATGGAGAAGTGGAGATGAAGTGACTTTCCAGGGGTCACACAGCATCTGTGGCAAGGCAGGAAGCAAAGCCAGCGCTCACAAGTCCTGGATCAGTGCTTTAGCCACAAGACCCTCTTTTAACCTTAAACTCAGATCTCAGGCCCTAGTCCAGGGGTGGCCGACCTGTGGCTCCGGAACCACATGCGGCTCTTCAGGAGTTAATATGCGGCTCCTTGTATAGGCACCGATGCCGGGGCTGGAGCTACAGGCGCCAACGTTCCAATGTGCCGGGGGGTGCTCACTGCTCAACCCCTGGCTCTGCCACAGGCCCTGCCCCCACTCCACCTCTTCCTGCCCCTTCCCCTGAGCCTGTGGTGCCCTCGCTCCTCCCCCTCCCGCTCTGAGCCTCCTGCATGCCGACAAAACAGCTGAGTTGGGAGGTGGCGGGGAGGGGAGGGGGAGGCGCTGATTGGCAGGGTTGCTGGTGGGCGGGAGGCACTGGGAGCAGGGTGGGGAGCGGATGGGGGGCTGCTGACGTATTACTGTGGTTCTTTGGCAATGTACATTGGCAAAATCTGGCTCCTTCTCAGGCACAAAAGTTGGCCACCCCTGCCCTAGTTGTAGGACAGGACTGTCTCTCTAGCCAGACTTCATACCAAGACCAGCGATTATTAGAGCACATTAAGAAACGTAAAAGAAAATTAGTGGCCACACTTGATGCCATTGATTAAAATGTTCTACCTCATTTTCTGGTCTGCCTCAATTCTTATTTGGTGCACGGCCATCTCAATCCTATCTGAGTGATCTTGCAGTCCTCGTGCCGAATTTCCATGGGTGTTTGGGCAGGTGAGTGGGATGCCATGTGGCCATCCCCTCTAGATTCCAGACCAACACGATGGAATAACCAGCGAGGAGACTTCCCTTCGCCGCCAGAGAACTCAGACCGTGTTTTACACTGAGCTCAGTTCCCTCTTTGACAGGACTTGGGGTATTCAGCGTGTGCTGAGCCGATCCCATGCAGAACAGTCTGGGATAGTTATGTACCTTACAGCCATACTAGGGGGCGTGCAGAGGAATGGCTGCTTTTGGAGGAGCACTTTTTGTGCCCACCATGGCTGGAGGAGCTGCCTATTTTCTTCCCCCTGCGGCCGGAGAAGCTGCCTCTCCCTGCTGCATCCCTGAGGTCACAGTTGGTGGAGCTGTCTCTCCTTCTCTTCCCCCTGAAGCCCCATGGCTGGAGGAGCTGCCATCTCTTGCCCCCAGCCCAGGAGCTCACTCTCCCCTCCACGGCCCTGGAGAAGTCTGTCCCCCACTGATTGGGGGTGCCTGTGCCCTTGTTTGCTCTCCTCCTTGTGCATGCCCTTATCACAGTCATGCCTGCAAGCCTCAGTGCTTTGATATAAGGCGTTCTCATTTTCTTTTTAAAGTAAAGCTGAGTTTCTTGCATCATTCCATGACTCCGGGAGCTGGGACTTTCAGAAAACCCCCACTACAAAATATCGTGAGACTTGCTGTAAAATCGTGAGAGTTGGCAACACTGCCGGCACGCTCAATGAAGCCCACAGTGCCGTGGTTTGCAAGCTAGCCTCAGTGCGTTGATTTAAGGAGTTCTCGATCATCGGGCGACACAGCTCCGTGGGTGAGGCCTATTGGTTTCAGTGCTGCGGTGGGTGACCTGTCTTCCTCAGTCACTGAAGGGTTTCTGCTGTGTTATGGTGACATTTGCAATTCATTAACCGCTCTTCTCCCTCCTCCAGGCCACCACTGAACCCCCCAAAAAGAAACCGGACCCCGTCACTTCTGAGACCGTGGTTTTCTGGGGGCTACGCCTCTGGCAGGTGATTGGAATCTTTGCCATCTTTGTCCTGGCAGTCAGTAAGTCACAATTCTCTGCCCTCCACCCCCACACTTAGGACCCCATTCTGCTACCTTCAGAACCAAGGGCAACACTGCCATGGGTGTCAATAAGTATAGGGTCGGGCCCTTCTTCCTGATCCTTTACTGTGTCCGCCTGCAACACGAGCGCGGGCTGGTTTTTCACAGACACCCATTTCACAGGGAATTAGGTGCCCCTGGATGTGCCCATGTTATGCCAGCGGTCAGCCTAGCTGATCATAATTAAGACTAAGATTTAGTCATGGGTATTTTTAGTAAAAGTCATGGACAGGTCATGGGCAATAAACAAAAATTCATGGCCCCGTGATCTGTCCATGACTTGTACTATATACCTCAGACTAAATCTCTGGTGTTCTGGGGGGCTCTGGGGGTGCAGCTGCTGCTCTGAAGTGGAGACTCTTGGGCACGTGCTGGTGCTGGGGGGGCAGCTTTTTTATTGAATGCAGTTATTTTTTTGTACATAATTCTACATTTTTAAGTTCAACTTTCATGATAAAGAGATTGCACTGCGGTACTTGTCTTAGGTGAATTGAAATATACTATTTCTTGTTTTTTTACAGTGCAAATATTTGTAATCAAAAATAAATATCAAGTGAGCACTGT